TCCTCTGGTTTAACGTATGCATCAGTGCACATTCGGTTGGACATGCGCAGAAACCTGATGCCTATATGACTTCCTGTAACATACGGTAGACGTCTTGAGGACGTAACACACTAATCACAAGTTTGCCGAATCCTAGGGCTGGTAAACATGCTACAATCCCGTTAGCGTAGGTTCGCCTTTTCTGCAGACCATCGCGAAGGGACTGGGCCCTACCGCCCTGTGACTGCTTGCGCACCTCCAGAACCCATTAAACTATACTGGAGTGTGTCTAACACACACAGATTCTCCCATACCAGTTTAGTCAATGGGTAGTGGTCCGACCAATATTCTCCTGGTCCTAAGGTTGTGGGACATGTGTGGCAAGTTGCTCCTAAAAATTGTAAGTTGCTGTGAATATCCACCTTGCGGTTAGGCTTTTCAGTCAAAGGCATTGATGCAGGAACCTAATAGTCCTCCTGTCCAGATCTGGGCTCCGCAGCAATGTCCCAGCACACGCACAACTATGAGTTTCGCACTCACAAATAACCTCACACCACACTGTGCGTCACGTGGTGCCATCAGCAAGGTCTTTTCATTTACTGCATACAGTATGGCGGATGAGCTAACACCCCTTTTCCTTCCATATATTCCTTCTCCTCTCCCGCTTCATCCTGCTTCTAGTGACATCTTACAGATCCATACTCCGCGCATTGCCACCAACCACAATATCTACGATTGACTCGGCCGCAGATACTTCGAATTCATTCTTCAAACTACGGTTGCTGAGCTGACATCCCCATCTGTTTTCCCTCTCTTCTGGTTGCGCAGTTCTGGCGATCCAGAAACCCCTATTGCTGGTTCTGATGGGCTTGGTATCGTTCTAAGTCACCGAGCACAAGAGTCCCTGGTCATGTGGTTTCCCTTTGATAGTCACCTCTATGTGATATGTTTGAAAGTGCCCTTGACAACATCTCGTTAACCCGCTGATGATCACTACCTTTTCATCGTACCTGCTCACTTTACAACAGGCTGCAGCTCTCATACACTCAAAAACGGTTTTTATGGTGCTTTCAGCGCCTTTCTGCAGCGCGCCAAGAGTTCACATATTGTTGTGGTTTCAGGAGGTATAAATGCGCAGGTAGGCAGAAATGGTGTTGCTGAGGTTCAACTGGGTTGCCATCCAGGACTGGAATCGAGACGCACGGGCAACGGCAAGCGCCTACTGCAGTCGTATGCTGACCACGGACTGTTTTTGTGCAGTACTAACTGGTGAAACAACCGAGGCTACTTGACGACATGGCGTTCCCACATGTGAGCCAATGTTCAACATAGATAGACCACATCGTCACAAGCTGTGGGTAGTGGGGATCAATTTCTGATGATTGCTCGTTCTGGAACACGTGTGGATTCAAATAACGTGCTTGTTTTTTTTTTCAAGGGCACGCGAGATGTGCACAACTAGCCTAGCCATTAAGGAGCTGTCAGATCCTGATGTGAAACAAGTGCGCCAGAACCATCTAACGAAGTTCATTTCGGATAACACATCTGATGATAATGTCTATTCCTGGAGGGTACTCTCGTAATCCTGCAAGGTGCTTTGCGCTCCGATTGTGGAACGGTTTAAGCAAATAGATCTAAGCACTGAATTTCGAGCAACATTTTAAAATTCCTCGAAGCCCTAACACATATTCCTCCTGATCAGGATTGTAAGGCGGACTGTCAAACTTCAGGTGAAGAAGAGTATCTGTGCAAACCGAGAAGCTTGGTGAAATCACAAACCTGAAGAAATGGAGGAGGCGAAAACTTTGAGAATCTCTCCACATTATTCCAACGCAGCGGACCCAGAGAAGCTTCAGGTGAACGAACCAACCACTAATACTGGTCATAATAGTAAGCCTGCCAAAACAGCGCCTGACTGGCTGGGCTGACTACTTTCGGGACCGATTCAACTGGCCGTCAGTGGTTGCTTGACCCGATACCTAACCGGCAACACAACCATGGGCAGTGAACTCGGAACCCGGACGAATTCATAAATAAGCAAATGCATTTCGTCCATCAAGCCCCACTGAGCCACTTCCCCCCCCCCCCTCCCC